CTGTGGACACACCAAACATTTTTTAATTGATAGGAAATTTTGAATTTTTGCCCGGGTGGCATCCGAAGCCTACTCTGATCGATTTTGGACCACCAAGGGATCTTTAGCTTGTGCAACTTGTAAACGGTACCTCTGAGATTTTTCGCCCTTGTCCGAGAAGGCTAGGAGTAGGTCTTTTCTACCAGAATGTCAGGGGTGTGGCAGAAATACAGTATTATGAAGGAGCCAAGGAGTAGCAATAGAGAGGCTGCAGACAGAGTCAGGAGCCCAGTGGAGGGTGCAAAGAAGGAGAGGGGGTGGGGGAAGAAAGTGGAGACGAAAGCAAACAACAGAATATTTACTTACTTACTGCTTAACCTCTATGCACCCCCACCTCTCTGCTTACCCCTGTGTCTTTGCAGTGTATCATGAAGGCTTTGTCACAATCCCATGTCTAGCATCCTCATCACCACCACCCCTAAGACCCCCCACCCCAATTGTGTCACACGCTAAAAAAGGTGCGTGATAACAACGTGTACGTCGGTATGAAAGGGGGCACCGATTGGTACAAGCAGCATAAAGCAGTTCACCCAGCAAGCGACTTCGTTGAATCCGAGCTTGATCATTTAAGAGTGTTCGTTGAATCCGGATTATTTGTGTCACGTCGCAATGGAATCAGGCGTTCGTCAATTTTTGAGCAAGTGGAGTACATGTTGTAATTGGTACCATCTTAAAGCTTGTTCAGTTGTTTTGCTTTCAGTGAAAAATACCCAACTAGATGTATCTTGAATAGAGGTCAAGATACATATACTTGAGATTGAAGGAGATGGGGGTCGTCTGTTTCAGAGGTAAATTTAGCGAGAAAATAGACGCCAGTTATTTCTACTGCTTGAGAGTCTATGGAAACTGAAAATTTACATTCTTTATGCCTTTCATTAACGTTTTTCAGTAAAATGGACATAGAAATAATAACGTTTTAACTTTAGTGTTGATCAAAAAATAAAAAATTCGATATAAATTCCCAAAACTGCAGAAAAATGCCAGTCTCTTGACTTTCATTATTTTGACGGGAGCCTGATTTCACAACACTGCCTCACATTTTTATTGAATAATCCCAATTTCTTTAGTTGAATAAATCAAAATTCCAATAAAAATTTCCCAGCAGATTGGAAAATGTCCGTTCCTTCAATTTTATTATTTTGACTAGCACTCCACTTCACCACACTGCGAAACATTTGTTCCGATTTCCAGCAGATAGATCATTTTGTTTTACACCCCCGACGATTCACTTTCACTGTGGAAGAAGAATGCAATGTATTCAAGTTACTACCCCAGAGTCCTCAGGTCTTCTACAAGAAGACTAAGTTGGTACCAAGTACACCTTTTTCATTCTTTTTTTACCTCAAGTGTTTTTACGACCAAATTTAGATCATTTAGAAGGTGGGTTTCGACCCTGGCTGTCAGGGGCTAGTGCCGGATGAGAGGGATACAACATCTCTGCAGAAAGTCCAAGATTCTTGGTTAAAATTCTCCCAGATCAGGAATCAAATTCGACTCTTTTGTGTGCAACAGTGAAGCACCTAATCCTAACCGCTACACCACATACAGTGGTTAGGTAGACCCAGTATAAAATGTCTGGTGACTAGATCCAAACTGAAAACGTTGTTGAGTGACAACAATGAGAAGAATAAGATGACTTGTCATAGGGGAACGTCCTTTAGCAAGACCAGACAATCCCAATTCAAAAACAAGGTGCTGCACTGAAATTATTAGCGATTGGGAGTCTGTTTTGACGAATTTGTTGATTTGCTGGCAGTATGCATAACTAGTCATAGACAAAATAGTACGGTGACTCAGTTTGACTCTCCTTTACTATGTACAGTTATGTGAATTAGTGGCTAAAAAAACTAGAGATGCAGGAACCGCATTAATTTTCTTGCAACAGGAAAGGCCGTAAAAAAAAATCCAAAATGTACAACACCTAAATTAAGTGGGCTTTGTTGAAATGACACCAGGGAAACACATAAACAGAACAAAACCATCCATAAAAAGCATCAGTTTCCTACTTATGGAAATGGGTTCTCTATGGAAATTATAGCATTAAAAATTCTTTTCAACAAAGTCCACTGTATACAAGTAAATAACTTTTTTTGGGGGGGAAAAACATTTAGTTCTCAGATTCTGTCCTCTTCTGTGACTGTGAGGGAGGCAAGAATGCTTTCTCAAAGGTATTTGGTACAGTTCTTGCAAGTTTATGTTGACTTACTCATTGACTTATCAATTTTTCTAAAACAAGGGGATGGGACTGACCACTTGAAACAGCATAGTTTTAGTAAAGAGAGTTTTAGTTTTAGTAGAGGTTTTACGGCGCTCGGAACTGCATTATGTCATATGAGCGCCAGAAGATTAGAGGTGTTACAAGAGAGTAACAAACATAAAAAAGAAGAAGGGGAGATCAGGATGATAGACTTTGGATAGGAAAGAAGAAGCAGCAGCAAACCACACCAGAGTACCTGCCAACCACCCACTAGTAAAGAGAAGCAAATCAACAAAGTTAGTCATTTAAAGAAGGGAAGGATCAAGGTAGACAAACACAAGAACATCATCCCCCCCCCCCCCTAAAAAAAAACACAGAGTAAAAACTGTAGTTTGTGTTGCACCAAAAAGCTACAAAAAGGACTGAAGGACAGCAGAAAAGCAAATTGTGCTGGACACTTTGATCAGTACAAAATATACGAGGTACCATTCTATATGACATCTCTGTCAAAGAAAAAATACAACAAATCTGCTGTGTCGAAATTGGCAACATTTTATTTCATCCACATAATCACCACACTCAAGCCTAGGTTACTACCTTCTATTCCTTCTTTTGCTTAAAATTTTGTTTGTCACATGCTTTCAAGGACAGAAAAAAAATCTAGTCTGTCTCGTCAAGCCTTAAGCTTTTCCACAAATATCACAAGCAACTGCTTGCCGTTCATTTCGTCTCTCAAGCAGCACTAGTAGAGAAAAACTGATACATTTCCAAAGGCCAGTTCTGCCGTAAACACTAGAACGGAGATGGACATTCATGATCACAGGCAAGGTGAACAGTCAATATATAGAAGTTATCATAAAAAAAAAATTATTCAGGACAACCCTCAGCATTTATACACAAGTTACAATTTTGTTTCTATATAAATTTACTAATGGCTAACTTCAGGGTCTGCTTTTCCATACTCCTTTTCCCATCGTTCAACAAACTCTTTCTTTCTCATTTCACGCAAGGCAAAGTATTCAGGATACTGCGCTTTCTCAAGTGGGTGCCAAACATCCAGAAGCTGTAAAGAAACAATGAAAGAAAAAAGTTTATAATGGCATTTATCTCCTTTATATGTCATGCTCAATATTGGTACATGTAGACACACACAACAATGTCAAAACCCAGTAGCCACTTACACCATTCTAAAACAACAAAGAAAGAAATTAATTGAAAGTAACATTAACATAAACACCATACAAATATATTTTAAATAATGAATCTGGCACAGATAACACGAACATGGAAAACTCAAAGTCACAGATAGCTTGAATAATTTGCCACTCCCTAACTGATCTGCTATATATATTTTTTTTATGGCAACAATGTTTTCTCAAACACATATACAGTGGAATCCACTTATAACGAGTTCTGAAACAACGAGAAGTCTGTTATTAAGACACTATTCTAAAACCCCGTTTTTTCCCCTTCTTTATCTTTGTAAATAAAACACTGCTATAGCGCAATCAGACAAACACGGGAGTCGGTTATACCGGAATATAGCTGCTGCAGTGCACAGCGCATAGGCTATTTATTAATGTAAAACCTCACCAGTTGAGAAACTTGTTGGTGATCTAGTGAAACAAAGAATGGGAGAGCCCACGAGTGCCAACAATGAAGGCCTGATTGAATGAGTGGGGAGAGTGTGGCATGCAGAGACAAGCAGAACGCATTGTGTGATAGGCCAGCCTAGTCTAGATAATCTAGGTCTACCACGCCTCTCACTTCACCGATGCGGGGATGGAGAGGTCATAGTGTTGTACTGTGATGGACGGAGTGAATGTGTGACGTGGGCGGGGTGTGGTATGTTTCCTTTGTGCGCAAGTAGACGGAACACACCACAGGGTGTGATGGGGTGGGGGACAACACAGCGGGCGAGTTAGCTTGGAGAACTTTCTTTCTGATCGCCAACGCCGAGTTGTCAATATCGCTAGCGTTTGAGAAAGAAACCTGATTCGACTTTTGATCAAGTAAGACTTAAAGGTCATGTTGAACCAAATCATCATCAGGGGAGATTACAAAAAAGAAATAAACCGAAAACCAGACTCATAGATTAGGCCTACTTTACTATTTTCCTTGAATTTATTACTGGGTGCCTTATAACGAGAATCTTGCTATAACGGACATTTGACACCGGTCCCCTCCCTCTCGTTATAACAGGATTCCACTGTAATATGGATATGTCTGACAGCTCGTCAAGAAAAAACATCAAATTTTTCTTTACAATTGTCCCGAATTCAGTTGTCCTGTGGTTGTTAGAATGTGAAGGTAGGCCGTATGGATTAGGAAGTTATTACACAAGAGGGGTGGTTGATGTGCTCTGACCAGTGTTGGTTCTATCGTCTTGAATGTGATCTGATGTATGAGCAAAAGTTTTTATTTTTTTAAAGGTCAGGTGTAAATATAAGGCTTATGAGCATCACTCTCTATCTTCCTCTTTCTTAAATTCTGAACAAGGGGCACTCTCTCTCTCTCTCTCTCTCTCTCCGCCCTTCTGTCCACACAGGGTACTTTTCATGACGGCAGTATTCTATCTTCTGACAATTACACTATCAGTTCCATCCCTTGATTTTCTTTCAATATTTTTCTTATTTTTATTTCTCATTATCCTTGTTTACTTGAATTATGGAATCGTCAAACATATTAATCCCCCCCCCCCCCCCCCCCCGTGTTCCAGACATTTGCGCTCAACTGTATGGATTAAATATCAAACAATAATATCCCTTACTATTTTTACATTACAATCAACTGAGCATCAGAATCTCAAACTCACTGTGCTCACGATAAACAATTCAAATTGATGAATTTGGGTAGTATAAATAGAGCCACAGATTTACAACTTTCTTTTCTATCATCAACACTGCACTTCTCCTAAAATTAAAACATAACTCATTACAACCTGATATATTCTCTATTAACACCTTCCACAGTTTTTAGTAAATGTTGAGTGCTGCAAGCAATCATGGAACACATGCAATGCTGTAATGCTATAAACATGCACTTCGACTACTTTGAGGAAGAGTTCATCTACTTCACTTCTGATTAAAACACACTGTCTTCACTTAGGAGTCTGCTATTGTGCGCGTGCGTATGCGCGGGCGCACAGGCGTGTGTGTATAAGAAGCAATTCTCTCTACGAATGAGAATGAAGAAAGGTTCAGACCTGGCACACAAATCGATTAGGATGGCAACTTAGAACTTTCCAAAACTTGTAGGTTCTGTATTTTCCACTGACACCAGCTGCAGCCAAAAATCCCTTTAAAAAAAAAATCAACACCATCTTCTATAGTCTTTGATATATTAGTACCAATCCAAGAACACAAAGGACCAACGTACCCAATCTGGAGGAGGATAATGTCTCTGGTAGGCCACACCTCCAGGTGCTGTGGGGACTGCAGGAAACAAAGAAACAGAAAAAAAACCATGAACACCTCAGCTCAATTTACTATAGTATTGATTATAGTAAACAGTATACAGTCTAACACACACACACACACACACACAACAAAGACACAGAACAAACAACATGAAGATCTCAGCACAATGTACTATAGATAATAACAGAGAGTACAATCTAACACACATACAACAAAGACATAAAATAAACTACATGAACAACTCAGCACAAAATGTACTACAGATTATAACAAACAGTCCAACATGTAAACAATAAAGACAGTGGGACGCGGAAATCTTTGCGTCATGTGTAAAATACACGAACCAGAAAAAATACGGGATCTGAAAATCTGTTCACTATGAGTGTGTTAGACTATATAAGCTTATAAATGTTTGAGCTCCATCTACATATTATTATACATTGTATAAAAAATATTTTAACTAAAAATGAGCTGAAACGAAAGTTTATCATACTTCTGATTAAATCCACATGAAAGATGAGCCTTTCTAATCAGCTCACACAGTACATTTATGTCTATGCTCACAAACACACTAAAAAAATGCTTAAAACAACAGATAGAAGCTGGGCTTACAAAAAGCTCTAAGAAGAAAAAAGAAAGGTAGTACAGGAAAATAGGTGACAGCTCTAGAAAGAAGAAAAAGTGGCACAGTTCCTTTGAAGTTTATCAACGTGACTTTAAAAATTTAATTCCAAATTTTTTGTTGCTGAAATATTGACCAAAGCCTTAATAATCAGCGCAAATCAGGAGCTAATCAGCGTAAATCAGAGGCAAATCAGTGGCAGGCCCTAGAATTACACTGAGCTCTCAGAGACATGTCAATGGAAAAGAGCTGTGCATTGTATATAATGTGTACCTCTGGCAGCCAATTTGCTGACTGGTGGTATATAAGAGGGGCAAATTTACATTAGTTTATTAATAAATTAAATCAATTAGGATCATACAACACAGACAGTTGGCAGATGGTGATACAAAGGTGCCAATACTACTACACTGGCAAAACCTGGCAATAAGTGGGGCTGGTGGTATAACACAGGGTAGTTCAACAAGATTTGACTGAAAAATGAAAATTTTCTTTTAAACTTTCAGTAATGCATCTTGCCCTTGCACTGATAAAATACACTCCATGCCTTGCTCTCCCTTAAACCTGAAAAAAAAAGTGAATGCCATCAGGAACAACATCAACTCTTCCATACAAAAGCCAAGCAGGCTCAAGTGTCCCTCTACACGACATGTTACACAACATATTGCTCACATTTGACAGGCTGGGGATGACTTTTCAGAAACAGCTCTCTTTGCCCGTCAAGTAATAACTTCTTGGCTTTTCTAAAATCAACCTCATTCTTGTTTTCATCGAATCTTGCACGCATCAAAACAGCCTGGTATCTGAACTCATATCTAAAGAGGAAAGAAAAAAAAATCGAGTCAAACAAATTTCCAGATGCAAAGTCAAAGGGTCGCTAATGTCTCTGACACAGATAGTCCAAAGGTGAACAATGCCAGTAAATATAAAGACAGAAGCAAACATCGCTAAGGAAACAACTGACACTAGAATCAAACCGAAAAAAAAAGAAAAGAAAGTAGGCCCACAGAGGGTTAGAGTTTCAACCTTTGACTTTGGGAGCTAAAGTAGAATTTTAAACATCAATTTAAGTTTCTTAAACATGTACAGTGGGAGTCGCATTCAACAAGGCTGCCGGGACTGGCTTGTTGTCCTCGTTGGATTTGACCTCTCATTGAACCTGGCTCAGGCTAAAGAAAAGAAGAAAAAAAAAG